AGAAAATGGTTGAAATAACTAGGTTATTTTATCTTGTCAATAACGGTCTCAACTAAAGTTTTTTGGTGAAAATGACAGAAACAATCTTATTTCATTCTGGATTTTAATTCTATTCCTTTGTTTAAAAATGCTGATAGAGTTTTTTATTATTTGTTTTTTCAGGTGATTGTGATAATCCAGGACATAAACGATAATCCTCCACAGTTCGAGAAAGAAGTGTATTACCATTTCCTATCCGAGAGTGTTCCTGTCGGAACTGTGTTCGAAACAGTTAAAGCTATAGATGCGGACTCTGATCGGAACACAAATCTGTCTTATTCTTTCGCTCCAGACCAAAGAAATTGTGAGTAAAAATCACACAAAAAAACAACAACAAAAATTGGAACATACTTTGTGATGAATTTATTTAAAAAATTAATAACTATTGTTTTTACTTTTTTGTAACTTTCCCGCCTAGAATCACCAATGAGATTCACTGGATTTTTAAACACGTGGTTCTAAACTACTTATGTACATCACTGCTTGTGGAACGATGACTTCGTTGGTTACAGGTTCCTTAATAACATTTAGTCCTTCAAAGAAATTTAAACAAAAATGCCAAATATATCATAATTTCTCCAACTAATTACAACAAGGACTTTCTATGTATTTTACATAAAGAATCAGGGATTCTATCTAATTTCTTTCGTTAATTCTTTACCTCAAACAGTTTGTGGACTCCCCCCCCCCCCAACTATATGAACCGTAAAAAGATATTAGGCGGTTTTTGTTTGAATTTCGCGCAAAGCTACACGAGAGCTATTCTGCACTAGCCGTCCCTAATTTAGCACTGATGGACAAGAGGGAAGGCAGCTAGTCAACACCACCCACCGCCAACTTTTGGGCTACTCTTTTACCAACGAATAGTAGGATTGACCGTCACGTTATAACGCCCCCACTGCTGAAAGGGCGAGCATGTTCGGTGATGAGAATTCGAATCCGCGATCCACAGATTGCGAGTTGAGCGCTTTTAACCACCAGACCATGCCAAGCCTAAGAAGTCGACAATTGACCTCAGTTGTTCTTGTCCTATAACATTTACGAAATTTAATTCCAAATATTACTACAGTTCTTTCAGAGAATTACACACTGATAACCGGATTCTTTCACACCAAGTGGACGATTAAATTGGATAATCAGTAACACTGTGTGAAACTGGATCAATAAATCACGTTACGTTAAAACACTTCCATTGTTATTGTTTTTCTGGTATAAACTGTAATACAATTAGTAAAATGACAAAGCATCTTTTTTATATAGTTGGAAATATCATAACAATAAAAACTGATCATGCCGCATAGTGCATAAGTTATATCAACATTCATTGTTATCACTGTAGAGAAGTCGATAACGATGTACATTAATTGTTATCACTATACAGTGAAGTAGATAACGATGTGCATTCATTGTTATCACTATACAGTGAAGTACATAAAGATGTGCATTCATTGTTATCACTATACAGTGAAGTAGATAATGATGTGCATTCATTGTTATCACTGTACAGTGAAGTAGATAATGATGTACATTCATTGTTATCACTATACAGTGAAGAAGATAATGATGTTCATTCATTGTTATCACTATACAGTGAAGTAGATAACGATGTACATTCATTGTTATCACTATACAGTGAAGTAGATAATGATGTGCATTCATTGTTGTCACTATACAGTGAAGTAGATAACGATGTACATTCATTGTTATCACTATACAGTAAAGTAGATAATGATGTGCATTCATTGTTATCACTATACAGTGAAGTAGATAACGATGTACATTCATTGTTATCACTATACAGTGAAGTAGATAACGATGTACATTCATTGTTATCACTAT